TTGTCAGATATATGGTTTGCAAATATTTTTTCCCAGTTGGTGGGTTGTTTTTTCTTTTGTTCATGATTTCCTTTGTCTTGCAGAAGCTTTTTAGTCTCATGTAGTCCCATTTGTCTATTTTTTCTTTTGTTTCCCTTGCCTGAGTAGACATGGCATTCAAGAAGATACTGCTAAGACTGATGTCAAAAAGTGTACTGCCTGTATTTTCTTCTATGAGTTTTATGGTTTCAGGTCTTACATTCAAGTCTTCAATCCATTTTGAGTTGATTTTTGTGTATGGTGTAAGATAAACGTCTACTTTCATCCTCATTTATTGAAGAGACTATCCTTTCTCTGTTGTATGTTCTTGGCTCCTTTGTCAAAGATTAGCTGTCCATAGATGTGTGGTTTTATTTCTGGGCTTTCAATTCTGTTCCATTGATCTGTTTGTTTTTGTGTCAGCACCATGCTGTTTTGATTCCTATAGCTTTTTAGTATATTTTGAAGAAAATTTTCTCAGGATTGCTTTGGCTATTTGGGGTCTTTTGTTCTATATAAATTTTAGAAATCTTTGTTCTATTTCTGTGAAGAATGTCATTGGGATTCTGATTGGGATTGCATTGAATCTGTAGATTGTCTTAGGTAATATGGACATTTTAACTATGTTTATTCTTCCAATCCATAAGCATGGACTATCTTTCCATTTCTTTATGTCTTCTTTGATTTCTTTCAGTAATGTCTTACAGTTTTCATTATATAGGTCTTTCACCTCCTTGGTTAAATTTATTCCTAGACAGTTTATTCTTTTATTGTGACTGTAAATGTGATTGTATTCTTGACTTCTCTTTCTGCTGGTTGCATGGAGTATCTTTTACCTTCCCTTCACTGTGAGCCTATATATATGTCCTTAAAGCTGAAGTGAGTCTCTGGTATACAACATACTGGTTGGTCTTATTTTTTTATTCATCCAGCTACTCTGTGACTTTTGATTAGAGAATTCAGTCTATTTACATTTGCAGTATTTATTGATAGGTAAAGACTTAGGTCATCTTGTTCATTGTTTTCTAGCTATTTTGTAGTCCTCTCATTCCTTTCTTCCTCTCTTGCTGTCTTCTTTTGTGAGTGAATTCTTTTATGTGGTGGTGTGCTCTGATTCTTTTCTCTTTTTCTTTTGTGTATCTACTGTAGGTTTTGCTTTGTGGTTACCATGAGGCTTACATAAAACATTGTATAGATAGAACATTCTGTTTTCCACTGGTAGCTTAACAACTTTGATCACATACAAAAACTCTACCATTTTACTCCCTTTTTTATGTTTTTGATGTCACAATTTACCTCTTTTTATATTATGTATTTTTTAACAAATTATTGTAGCTATAGTTATTTTTAATACTCTTGTCCTTTAACCTTTATACTAGAGTTAGGTGGTTAATACAGCATCATATTACAGTTATTTTCTGAATTTGACTATATACTTACCTTTTCTAGTATGTTGTATATTTGTATGTTTACATGTTACTAATTAGCCTCCTTTCATTTCAGCTTGAAGAACTCCTTTCAGCATTTCTTGTAAGGTAGGTCTAGTGGTGATGACCTGCCTCAGCTTTCGTTTGTAGGGAAAGTCTTTCTCTCTCCTTCGCTTCTGAAGGACAACTTTGGTGGATAGTATATTCTTGGTTTGCAGCTTTTTTTTCTTTCAGTGCTTTGAATATATCATCCCATTCTCTTGTGGCCTGTAAGGTTTCTGCCAAAAATTCTGTTAGCCTAATAGGGGTTCTCTGTAAGTTACAAGCTTCTTTTCTCTTGCTGCTTTTAAGATGCTGTCTTTGTCTTGGATTTTTGACAGTTTTATTTTAATGTGTCTTGGAGAGGATTTCTTTAAATTGAGTTTGTTTGGTGACTTATGAGCTTGATGAACTTAGATATTAAAATCTCTCCACATATTTGGGAAGTTCTCAGGCATTATTTCTTTAAATATGCTTTCTGCCCCTTTTCTCTCTCTCCTTATTCTGAGATCTCTATAATGTGAATATATTTCATTTGGTGGTGTGCCATAATTCTCATAGGCTTCCTTCAGTCTTTTCTCCTCTGACTGGATAATTCATAGTTCCTGTTTTCTAATCACAAGTTCTTTCTTCTGTTTGATCCGTTCTGCTGTTGATGCTCTCTATGGCATTTTTCATTTCATTCATTGTATTCCTCAGCTCCAGAATTTTTGTTTGGTTCTTTTTTTGATTTCTCTCTGTTAAGCTTCTCATTTTGTTCATGTACTGTTTTCCTGATCTTATTGAATTGTGTTTCTGTGTTTTCTTGTGGCTCTTTGAGTTTCCTTAAAACAGCTATCTTGAATTCTTTACTGGGTAAATCACAGATCTCCAAGTCTCTGGGATCAGTTACTCGAAGATTATTGTGATCGTTTTGTGGTATCATGTTTCCTTGATTTTCTGTCTTCCTTGAAGTTTTGCATTGCTGTCTTTGCATTTGACATAGCAGTCACCTCCTTCAGTCTTTATTAACTACTTTCAGGAGAGAAATAACTCCCATCAGTCCTGCTGGTGATTCTGAGGCTTTCTCAGAGCTTCAGTGGATCCACCCGCTCCACTCTTCTTGCTCTCTTGTAGCAGATTTTTTTTTTTAAAGATTTTATTTTTTCCTTTTTCTCCCCAAAGCCCCCCAGTACATAGTTGTACATTCTTCGTTGTGGGTTCTTCTAGTTGTGGCATGTGGGACGCTGCCTCAGCATGGTCCGATGAGCAGTGCCACGTCCGCACCCAGGATTCGAACCAACGAAACACTGGACCGCCTGCAGCGGAGTGCACGAACTCAACCACTCGGCCACGGGGCCAGCCCCTCTTGTAGCAGATTTTTAAAGTTTGTATTCCTTCCCTGTTCCTGCAATACACCAGGCAGGGTGCTTGCTGACAGCCTCCCTTTTGTTTTCCCAAAGGTGGTGGTAGAGCTCACGTTTGTGGTCTTTCTCTGGCCTGCAAATTCATGCTGACTCTCTCAACATGCTCACTAGCCATCTGCTAAAGCTCACTCTCACCACGACCATTAGGAGTGCACACAGGGCCCCAGCTACGGGGTAGGGGTCTGGGTGTGTGTCAAGCCTGCAGAGCTCTGGGGGTGCTGTGGGGCAGTTGGGGGTATCTACAAGTAAAGTGTACCCAGCAGGCTTCTTGATAGAGTCTACAACGCAGTTAGTGGGATCTGCATCCCTTTAATGCCCTATGAAAGTCCTATTTGCCCCCCTCGCAGAGTCTTCCCACCCCCCCAGTCATACAGTTCAGAATCCTGTACTCTGGGTGGGGCGAGAGAGAAATGAGCCTCTTTGGCACTGTCCTGCACAGCTAGGAAGCCAGGTGCTCACTCACACACTCTCTCTTTCCTCCATGGATGAGATCACAGGCCAAGAAGATCTCTCAAGGTGAGATCTTCCTAAGCTGTGCTGCCTCAGGGGACAGGTGAGGTGAGTAAAATGTAAGACCATTCATCTTACCCTCTCTGATGAGTTCAAGCTCGTATTTTTAGTCTCAGCGATGTGCTGAAACTTCTCTGCTGAAGACCTGAACTTCCACAAAGGCTCTGTCATTCATGGGTGATTGTCAAAGATGGTTTTTTTCCAGGGGCTCCTGCACCACAACCAAGAGGGGCTAGAGTCAGTTCATGGGTTGCTGCAGGGTCTGCAGCCAGGACTGAAGTCTGTCTGCCTATTACCCAGCATATGGGTGGTTGAGACTCCTTAGCACAGTGGGTAAGGGTAGTTTCCTTGGCATATGGTGCTGGATCCCACAGCTCCCATGAAGGCACTTTTGTCCATGGATGGATGCCAAATTGTGGTGACGGGGGGACACAAATAAGGGATGTCTTATTCAACCATAATCTTTGTTTTCTTAAACCTATTTATTTCAAAGACCTTGATCTTCAGAGAAAAGGGTTCCAAAAGAGGATTCCTCATCAGTCCCACAGCCTACTCTGAACCGTTAGTGTTAGTAAGTGTTCATGTTCATAGGGTCCTTTTAGGACCTGGAAATAAATTCTTAGAGACGTTGATTGTGAATTAACTCTTGGTGATTTCTTTTTATCTCACTCCATCTCTTGTAGAAATTCCTCAAAGGGTAGGAAATATGGACAGCTCTCTTTGTTCTAGTACCATTGAAGTTTTTTTTCTTATGTTTATATACTTTTGGGCATTTCAGTTTTTAACTGGGAAAAGTGCATTATATTTCAATATTCAAATCACATTGCTTTGAAGAAATTTGTCACCATCATGTTATTTCTGAAACTTATTCTAAAGCTTTCTTGATACTGTTTTCTCATAGCTCTGGTTGTAATTCTAATTCAGACCATTAGAAAAACTTACTAATGAATCTTTTTCTTTGTCTGTTGGTATTTGTATGATTCTGTCATCTGTCTGGCTCTTCATCTGTCTAGTTGAAGAAAGCCCTCATCTTTCAAGATACATGAACTCTAAGCATTCATATCCCTTTTTCATGTCTGTAGACACTTATTATAGGCTTATAAGTAATAAATCCTCATTTCATTCTGGATTTATCCCAATCTAGTGAACAGTATGTCCAACTGCTAAATCAATGTATATCTCCAGTTGGATATCCTACTGTACTTCAAATTTTGCTATCGTTTTCTCCCTGCTTCTGCTTCCATCCAAATCTTGTTTTCATTTTTCCTGCCTCAGCGAATCACAGGCATCTAGTGAGTTCCCAAACCAGTTAACTTGAGTACAGTTTATACTCCCCCATTTCCACACGCAGTATAAATTGGTGCCCAAGATCTCTTTAACCATGGTCATTATTAAAGATATTGCTTGCTAGTTCAGTGAATGAACATAAACTAACAGGATGTTGCTAATATGAGGTTTTTTTCTTTTAGAAAATAACAAAACCAGGTAAATTTTTTTCTGACTTCTTACCTTTGCATACCATGAGAACACAGTTCAATATGTTTTGTCCATATCATCTAAGATGGATGACTTCAGATTGAGTAGGAGTGTTTTGTTACAGGGAACAGTGACATTCAAAGATGTGGCTATTGACTTCACCCAGGAAGAATGGCAGCAATTGGATCCTGCTCAAAGGAACCTGTACCGGAATGTGATGCTAGAAAACTATAACAACTTAATCACAGTGGGTAAGGGTAGTTTCCTATATAACTCAAATTCTGAGATTAAAGTACCTTTTTTCCCCCACTTTTCTGAAATGTGTGGAACCTTTAAGTGTTAGAGTGAATTTGCCTTTAGATGCCTTTGCTCACTTGAATGAGCAGCTTTCAAAACAAAACGTCATCTGTTATGTTTCAGGGGGCAGCATCTCCAGAAAACATACGTTTCTTGTCCTTTAGAAAACCAGTTTCCCTGGGCCAGCCTCAATTCTTGAATGATTCTTTGTTTTAGTATTTATGCCAAAATCGTATGTCACTTCTCTTTGACAGGCTGTCCATTCACCAAACCTGATGTGATTTTCAAGTTGGAGCAAGAAGAAGAACCATGGGTGGAGGAAGATGTGGATGTGTTAAGGAGACACTGGCCAGGTTAGTGGGAGGGAACCAGACAGGTGAAGAGGGGCCAGACCCTCTGATGGTTAATCCATGAGTAATTGATCTCTCTGAAATCTTCTTCAAAGATGTTTTCCTAAAGACTGTAGACTTTTATGGTGACAATTGTTGTGAATTCTTTATAAACGTAAGATGTCATTTCTAGATAACATTCTTAGCTTTTATCCTTAGAACTTCTTTCCACAGAACTTAAAGGATCAGTTGGCCTTTTCACCTGTGTGCTAGATATCAACATTTCCTAATTCATTTCCAGCTTTACTTTGATAATCTTTCTGCTTTTAGCATCTTCGGTGTCTCTGCCCACCTTTTCACATAGGATTCTTTCTTTTTGCATTCAGATATTCATGGAATTGTAGTTGTTCAAATAAACCTATTGACATTTATAGTCCTTTACTCTCCACTTTCTTTTCTTCCTTCCATTGTAAATGCCTTAGCATCGTGTTTTGTGCCCATAGTCATACTTCCCACTGTAATGTTTAGCTTTTGCTCTCATACTTCCCCAGTAATGGCTACAACCCTTTTACTTCAAGAAAAGTTTTACAGTCAGAGCTCCTTTTCTGTTAGCTCCCATATTCTGCTACATTGTCATGTATATATGCACGCATGTTTGTGTATACATGGATGTATGTGTGTATATATACATACACATATATACGTATATATGCATACACATACATACATGTATTTCTAATTTGATAGCTATTGCCAGGTCCTTTTTTGCCCTCCAAGGAGTTTGTAACAATTTATATTTGTACTAACAATTTCTACCAACATAGTCTGTTAGCATTTTTTAAATCTTTGCCAATTTGATAGGTGAAATATAACTTATAGTTTGAATTTGCACTTCCTTTATTGTGAGTGAAGACAAGCATCTTTTCATATGTTTTAAATCTATCTTTCTTTCTTTATGAACAGTTTGTATCTTTTGCTTGTTTTTTCTGTTGAGTTCTTAATTTCTGTGAACTCTTAACATATTAATGTTATTAGCCCTTTGTTATATGTTTTTCCATTATTTTTTTGCAGTTGGTCATTCCTCTTTGAAGTACTTTTATTCACTTTGAGTTTTTCTTTTTTTAAGATTTTATTTTTTCCTTTTTCTCCCCAAAGCCCCCCAGTACATAGTTGTATATTCTTCGTTGTGGGTCCTTCTAGTTGTGGCATGTGGGATGCTGCCCCAGCGTGGTTTGATGAGCAGTGCCATGTCCGCGCCCAGGATTCGAACCAATGAAACACTGGGCCGCCTGCAGCCGAGCATGCGAACTTAACCACTCGGCCACGGGGCCAGCCCCTCACCTTGAGTTTTTTTAATGTTCCTGTAGTTAAAATAATAATCTTTTCTTATAGGAGATTATCATGATTTTTTTTCCCTTTTATGTATATGGGTGAATTATGTTTACATATTTCTTAATAATGACTCATCCTCACGTTTGCTATGAATTTAAATAATTGTTCTAACTTTTTCAGGCTTTGAAGACAATGTTATGCTGGTTTCATAAATAGAATTTGGAAGCTTTCCTTCATGTTCTGGGACACTTAGAATAGCGTTGGTGTATAACTCCCTTAAAATTCTGGTTTATCTTCCCTGTTGAGCTATTTGAACCCTGTGGATTATTGAGGGAAGGTTCTTTGACACCTTTTTTTCTTTGTTCCTTTTATAACTGTTCTGTGTAGATGTTTTTTCTCTCTTTTTGCACTAGTTTTTTATAATGTTATATTTTTCCAGAAAATTATCCATTTAATCCTGGTTTTAAAATTAATTTTCACAGAGTTGAACAATGTAATTTCTACAAATATTTAAATTTCCTCTGTGTCTGTAAAAGTTTATCATATATTGATGTTCCAGGGTCATCTGTTATATTTAACAATTCGTTTCATCTGTATTTTCAAATCTGTTGTTATAAAATTACCCTAGTGTTCTGTTCTTAAGTCTTTCATTAATTCTGCAAATTTCTCAGCCCGCATTATCACATATTGGCTCTCCTTCATTTTCTCTGCATTCTACTTCTGGGACTCCTATTAGATAGATACTAGACCTACTTGTTTTTTCCTCCACATTGTTTTTCATTTCCTTTGCTATTTTCTACCACCCTATCTCTCTGTGTTGCCGTCTCAGTAATTATTTCAGCTATATCTTCCAGTTTACTAACTCTCTTCAACTGTATTTATTCATCTTTTTCACTCATCCACTTTTTAAAAAATTCTCAGTAGTAGTATTTTGTATTTTTAGAAATTTCTCTCTCTCTTTTCTTTTTACTTTGTTTGTTTTTTGTTTTCATGTCATTCTTGTCCTTCCTAATAATTTCTGTGGCTTGTTCAGGTTTGTTTTTATCTTTTGCTTCTTTAAAAATACTCTGCATAGCTCTTCTGTATTTTGTATCTGACAATTCCAGTATTTTAAGTCCTCAGGTTTAAATATCTTGTTTTTGTTGACTCATTTATTGTACCTGCTTCTTCGCCTGCTTGATGATTGCTGATTTGAATTCAAATTTTTTAAATCTTAATTTACAATGATTTTTTTTGGTGAGGAACATTGGCCCTAAGCTGTTGCCAATCATCCTCTGTTTGCTTGAGGAAGATTGTCGCTGAGCTAACATCTGTGGCAGTCTTCCTCTGTTTTGTCTGTGGGATGTCACCAGAGCATGGCTTGAGGAGCATTGTGTAGGTCTTTACCCACAATCCAAACCTGTGAACCTCAGGCCACTGAAGCAGAGTGCACAAACTTAACTACTATGCCACTGGGCTGGCCCCCAATTTGAATAATTGTATTGTCCTCACTTAAAGTTGCTGTCTTCTGAAGATGATTTGCATGTGCTCCTGGTGGGTGTAAACAGGCATTAGCAAGTGAGGACCAGCTGAACATCTTTTGGAGGTCCTGGCTTTTTGTAGGAACTTCAGTTTTGAGCTTCGCTTCCGTATTGCTGACCTGGGACTTGTACTTCAGGTAACAGGGCTTTTGTTTGGATAGGTACTCAGGTCAGACTCATCCTCCAGCTTGCTTTGTAATTCCCTCTCTCAGACCTGGTTTTGGCTAATAGTTGTTTATTTTTGTTTTATTTTTTTGTATATGATGCTCAGCTGTGGTTGGTGCACAGTATTGAGGTGTTCTTGGAGATTTATGCTCCCAGCGATGCATCATAATTTCTCTTTTATCCATTTTCTTTTTGTTTTGCAATGTGAGGTTACTCTACCATAATTTTCAATAATAAAGTCCTATCTAGTCTTTCTCTCTTTTTCCACACTTGCATGGTCTCCTTCATTTCAGTTGGTTTTATTTTTCTCTTCCATTTCTTTCCTTGGTTCTGCCAGTTAATTTTTAATTTATATTTTGAGCTCTTGATTTATAGATGCTATAAACTTAATTTTCATTGTTTTTTATTCGTGTCAATACATCTAGTCAAGATTTTAATTTACTATGTGCCATAATTGTTCATTTTGTCTGCTTTTTAATATAATGTTTCTTTTTTCTTTCTCTTATAATGCTTTTCATAGATCTGATTCCAGCACCTTTCCATTTTTGAGTGAGAATAGTTCTTCCTTGACCTGCTTTAAAGAAGGATGATGTTGGGGAAGGAAAATGAGTGTTCTGATCTAGAGCAGAGATCAGCAAACTATGGCCTGTAGTCCAGCCACTTGTTTGTAAATAAAGTTTTATTGGAACACAGCCACACCTAATCATTGACATCTTGTCTATGACTGCTTTCACATTACAGCAGCAAAGTTGAATAGTTGTGTCAAAGGCTATATGACCTACAAAGCCTAAAACTTTTATTATCTGATCCTTTAAGAAAAAGTTTGCCAACCCTTGATGTAATGAATGCATCTGTGCTTCACATTGAAGCCCTTTATTCTGCACGACTGTGTGTGTGTAAGTATGTTTAGACTTTATTTCTTCTCATCCCAAAAATAAGCTGTAAGTCTTCTCATAGCTGAAACTTGTGCTCTCACCCCAACAAACTTCTTCCTAAGAAGATAGTATGTCAGAGTGTTTCCTTGTTCAGTCCTGGCTTCCCTGACATATCTTGGGATATCAGGTCTACACTCCCAAACTTCAATGTTGTAATCATGGGGTAATTAATTCTGCTCTTCAAGGTGTGACATCCATCTTGACAGTCAGCTGCTTGCTCTGCCCAAGATCAGCATGATTCAGCTGTCTCCTTTTACTTCCGTTCTGCCCCTTTTCCAGCCTGCACTGTATTTGTCAACACTAACTCTTTATAATTGGGGTTACAGCACCCCCCAGGATCATTGAAGAATCAGTGACTTTTCATTCTCATTGTTTGTAGAGAAGAAAAGAGATCAGTTACTTTTTCATTCCACCATCTTAAAACATGAGGTCCTTTCTGTCACATTTTGACCTTCCCCTTGGAATTCTTTTTCACTTCTGCTTGGATGTTACCTTGACAACCTAATCTTACCTTCTCCCTCAGCATCTTTTGCTTTTCCTTGAACTGAGGTGACCCAAAAGTTTAGCACTCTGCCTTCTTTTATGCATTTATAATCTGCAGCCATGTCTCTCACTTTATCTGCTTTACAGCTTCACAGGACTTTTCCTCTTACTTTATTCTCAGTCTAACAGAGAGAGAAAATTCTCCATTTTCCCATCTTGGATCTAAGCAGCACCAGAGGACTGACTGTCTCACCTTTCAGTATGTAGACTTTCACTTCCTTTCTCTGTGACTGAGCCAGTTCCTTTCTCTCTATTTCTCTGCCTGGGGTCACTGATTCTAGAGCCTTTCTGCTTCCATTTCTTAAGAGGGTAATCTCCCATCTTTTCTAGGGTAGAGGTGTGGTCTTCATTCGTTTATACCTTTTTATTTCTATATCTCATATTAGTGTGGTTTGGGGTAGCATCAAAGATAAATTCATGTATTTATCATGCCATATTTAAGCTCAATTTCTCAATCTGTGTTTTCTCCTCCACTCTCTATACTTACTTTCTCTCCAGTCATGCTAGGTAGGCTCTTCCAGTTTTATCTCACAACTCTTTCATCCAATTTTTCCTTCCTTTGTTTGTTCTCATTTTATTACTTCAGCGTTAGAAAATTTATTTACTTTTAAAAATACATAATACATGCTTGTAGTACAAATTTTTTAAAGTACAAAAGGATATATATTGAAAAGTAATTCTTCTTCTCTTACCCATTTCCCCTTTATGGTGGCAACCCCAGCATCATTTTCCTTTGAGTTATTACTCACTTTTATTTTCAAACATTTTTATCGAAACCACTCTAAGTTGATAGGTTAAGTAGTGAATAATTGTCACCTTTGCTGTTCAGTGTTCTTTTCCAAGAATGTGATATGCCTTTTGTCTTAGCTTCCTAGAGCTACTGTAACAAAGTACCACAAACTGGGTGGCTTAGAACAACAGAAATTTATTCTCACAGTTCTGAAGGCTAGAAATACTAAATCAAGGTCTTAACAAGGCCACGCTCCCTCTGAAACCTGTAAGAGAAGGACCCTTCCTAGCCTCTTTCAGCCTGTGGTAGCCCCAGACATGCCTTGGCTTGTAGCCACATGACTCGAGTCTGTCTTTGTCTTCACATAGTGTTCTCCCCATGCTTCTGTCTCTTCATGTGACATTCTTTTTATAGCATCAGTCATATTAGATTAGAGGCTTACCCGACCCCAGTATGACTTCATCTTAACTCATTGTGTCTGCAGTGACCCTGTTTCCAAATAACTTCACATTCTGAGGTCCAGGGGGTTAGCACTTCAACAGATCTTTTAGAGATGGCACACAGTTCAACCCATAACACCCTTCCATTTGTTCAAATCTCTATGTGCATTTTAAAGTTTTCTTCTAATTTTTTGGCATTTCTTATTAAATTTATTCCTAGATTTTTCATGTTTTTTGTTGCCATTGTAAGTGTAATCTTCTGTTATATTTTCTAAATAGTTGTTTGTATATATGAAGGTTTTTGAAACTGAATTTTAACTTACTATACATAGTGAATTAATTTCTTTTTATGATTTTTCAAAAAGGTGACTTGATTTAAATAGTTTTATTGCTGATAAATAATGCTAATTTTACTTTTCCTTTCCAAGTTTCTATACCTCTGATTTCTTTCTCTTACTTAATGCACTATCCAGCACTGTAATAATAGTGGTGATAAGCACTCATCTTCTTTTTATTCCTAACTGTACTGTGAGTGCTTTGGGATTTTTCTCAAGTTAAATGAGTGTCTGTCTATTCCTATTTTATAAAGGGTTTTTTTTATGGAAAATAGATGTTGAGTTTTATCATCTTTTTAATATCTTTGGAGATGATTGATTTTTCACTTTTGACCTATTAATATAGTTACTTACAGTAGTAGATTTTTCTACTATTGAAACATACTTATATTCCTAGGAGAAATCTACTTATATTCCTGGGGGAAAAACATACTTACATTCCTGGGTCATTTTGATATTGTATGTAGAATTTTTGCATTGATAGTCATAAGTGAAATTGGTGGCTGGTTTGCTTTTTTAATAGTCATCTTTCTCAGGTTTTGATATTAATATTTTGTTTGTTTCACCCCCCGAAATAAGGAATTCTCTTTTTTTCCTTTAAAAAATCTTATATAGCATCAGAGCTGTCCCTAATGTGTTTGTTAAAATTCCCATGTGACTGTCTCTGGGCCTTTTCTATTTGTTTTGTTTTTAGGGGACTGCTTTTCATATTTTTCTGTTTATTTTGTGGAAATTGGTCTATATAGGTTTTCTACATCTTTTTTTTTTTTTTTTTTTTTTTTTTAAAGATTTTATTTTTTCCTTTTTCTCCCCAAAGCCCCCCAGTACATAGTTGTATATTTCTCGCTGTGGGTTCTTCTAGTTGTGGTATGTGGGACGCTGCCTCAGCGTGGTCTGACGAGCAGTGCCATGTCCACGCCCAGGATTCGAACCAACGAAACACTGGGCCGCCTGCAGCGGAGCGCGCGAACTTAACCACTCGGCCACGGGGCCAGCCCCAGGTTTTCTACATCTTAATAGTTACTTTTGGTAATTTACATTTTCCAGAAAATTGCTTGTGAAAACAGTTTATAAAAGTGTGTTTCAATAGAGTCTTACAAAACAGTTCTATGATTTTTTTTAACTTCCTGTTTTTGTTTTTTCTCTGTCATTATTGCTTCTTTCTTTATTTGTACATTCTTCGTTCTCCCTTTTACCCAGCAACTTATCTGTTTTCTTTCAGATCTCATTTAAAGCAATCAAAACTATTTGTATTCATAAATATCTGTGTCTATTCATATTTCCTTTCCTGGAATCTCCTAAAGCTTAGGAAATAGGACATATATGTGCCTCGAATTTGCTTAATAATGGGAAACTAGGCCTTAAGCCAAGAATCAATCCCATAATAGCATGCTTTTTGAAATTTTCTTGATATTTTAATATTGGGAAAAGTTACAAGTGACATTTATTTGCAATCTGTTTTAGGAGAAATATGGGGAATTGAGGAGCATCAGAAAATCCAGGACAGACTTTTGACACAACTTGAAGATAAATTCACAAAACCACTGACTGAAGAAAAAGTCAATGAATGTCATAAGAAATTTGCAAATGCATTTACTCTGAATTCAGACTTTTTTCCTTCCAGTCATAATCTGTATGGCTATGACTTATTTGGAAAGTGTTTAGAACATAATAATTTTGTCTATTGTAATAATGAGAGAATCCTTAAATATAATGAACCTGTGAAATCATTTGGCAATAGCTCATCCCATCTTGTAGTAACCCCGTTTAAGTGTAATCATTGTGGAAAAGGATTCAGCCAAACCTTGGATCTCATCAGACACCTGAGAATTCATACTGGAGAAAAACCCTATGAATGTAAAAAATGTAAAAAAGCCTTCAGCCACAAGGAAAAACTCGTTAAACATCATAAAATTCACAGTAGGGAGCAGTCTTATGAATGTAATGAATGTGGGAAAGCTTTCATTAAAATGTCAAATCTTATTAGGCATCAAAGAATTCATACTGGAGAGAAACCCTATGCATGTAAGGAATGTGGGAAATCCTTCAGCCAGAAATCAAATCTCATTGATCATGAAAAAATTCATACTGGAGAGAAACCTTATGAATGTAATGAATGTGGAAAAGCATTCAGCCAGAAGCAGAGCCTCATTGCACATCAGAAAGTTCATACTGGGGAAAAACCTTATGCATGTAACGAATGTGGTAAAGCCTTCCCTCGAATTGCCTCCCTTGCTCTTCACATGAGAAGCCACACAGGAGAAAAACCTTATAAATGTGATAAATGTGGAAAAGCCTTCTCTCAGTTTTCCATGCTTATTATACATGTGAGAATTCACACAGGTGAGAAACCCTATGAATGCAATGAATGTGGAAAGTCCTTTTCTCAAAGCTCAGCCCTTACTGTACATATGAGAAGTCATACTGGTGAGAAACCCTATGAATGTAAGGAATGTAGAAAAGCCTTCAGCCACAAAAAAAACTTCATTACCCACCAGAAGATTCATACTAGAGAGAAACCTTATGAATGTAATGAATGTGGGAAAGCCTTCATTCAGATGTCAAATCTTGTTAGACACCAGAGAATTCACACTGGAGAAAAACCCTATATATGTAAGGAATGTGGCAAAGCCTTTAGCCAGAAATCAAATCTCATTGCTCATGAAAAGATTCATTCTGGAGAGAAACCCTATGAATGTAATGAATGTGGTAAAGCCTTCAGCCAAAAGCAAAACTTTATTACACATCAGAAAGTTCACACTGGAGAGAAACCTTATGATTGTAATGAATGTGGTAAAGCCTTCTCTCAAATTGCATCCCTTACTCTTCATCTGAGAAGTCACACAGGGGAAAAGCCTTATGAATGTGATAAATGTGGGAAAGCCTTCTCTCAGTGCTCGTTGCTCAATTTACATATGAGAAGTCATACAGGTGAGAAGCCCTATGTATGTAATGAATGTGGAAAAGCTTTCTCTCAAAGAACTTCCCTTATTGTACACATGAGAGGTCATACAGGTGAGAAACCCTATGAATGTAATAAATGTGGAAAAGCCTTCTCCCAAAGTTCATCCCTTACTATACATATACGAGGTCATACAGGTGAGAAACCCTTTGACTGTAGTAAATGTGGAAAAGCCTTCTCTCAAATCTCATCTCTTACACTTCATATGAGAAAACATACAGGTGAGAAGCCTTATCATTGTAATGAGTGTGGTAAGGCTTTCAGCCAAAAGTCACACCTTGTTAGACACCAGAGAATTCATACTCATTAGAAATAGAAACCCCATGAATATTGTGAATATGGAAAAGCCTTCAGAAGGAATTAGTACCTCCTTGCACATTACATAATCAGTTCTAGAGGAAAAAACTATGAATGTGGGAAAGTCTTTCAAAGAAGTCACACATTTGTGAAACATGAGAATTCTTACAGAGCTGACAAATTGTATAATGCAAAGCTGGTCATCAAAAACCTTCAGCAGACATCTTATCGATGATATTTATTCAGCATTCTCATTAAAATCTGAAACAAAGTATCTGCTGTCAGCATATCAGCATACTTGAGCTTCTAGCCAATGTATTAAGCAAGAAAAAATTGTGAAGAAAGATAAACTATAAAATAACCTTTTATATGAGAAGTAGTTTATTAGAAAATGTGTTGATATAAAATATCTAAGAATAAACACAACAATGAATTTTGAGAGAGAGATATATAAAGTTATAAAACATTTTGAAGGGCACAAAAGAACACCTGAATCACTGAGAAAAATGACATTGTCTGAAAAGATTTGACATTTTAAAAAACATAAATTCTCTCACACACCTTTGAGTTTAAGTTTAAAGTACTTCCACTCAAAGTTTTCACTAGTTAGTTATAGTTTAAGAATTTCACAAACATTCAGTGTTTCACATAGGAATGTAAAGAAGCACAAATAGCTGGAAAAAATGTTAAAAACAAAAGAGAAGACACAGTTTACTAGATATTACATACTTGATTTAAAGCTAGTGTCATTTAAACAATGTTCTTGATGAGTAAATCAATCAGTGGAAACAAATTGAGGTTAGGAGGAAGGAGACATGGGAATTTTGTGTATGATAGTGCTATTGAGATCATTGCAGAAAGCATAGCCTGTTCAATTAATGGAAGATTCATGTGAGCAAAATGTTAGTGCTCTACTTTATGCCATACAAAAGTAAAATTCAAGTAGATTGAAGACCAGAATATAGAAAGCAAAATTCTAAAACTATGATGGAAATAGAATATTAATTTAGAGTAACAGGATTTCTCTAAAAACACATGAATATGGAACAATCCATTCTAGTTTGGTGTATTGGCTTCAGAGGCACCCACATATGTGCGCAGAGATATATCTCTATCACTATGTTCACTGCATCATGGTTTGTATTACTCTAAATTGGACATAACATATTTCTATTAGTAGAGAAATAGGTTAGTTGATGTAATTATTTCTATGGTAGAATACAGTTTTAGAGGGGAGATACAAATTATTACATGGATAGATCACAATATATAATATTGAGAGAAAACAGCAAAATGTACAATGAAACATGATATAACGTTTGTATAAATTTAATAATGCAAAGAACAGTACTGTGTATTGATCCTGGATCCATATATGACATTGGTTGCCTTTTAGGAACTGGGAAAGGTCTGGAGGGAGTTGTTATATTTATCTGTAATATTTCTTTAATAAAAGAAAAAGCAAATATGACAGTGGTAACAAATCTTGTCAAAATTATGTTGATTTTAAAATATTCTTGCCTTTATTTTTGTCTTTCTATAAAATAAGAATCAGATGGGTGGAGGAAATCTGGACCTATAGAAACAATTTTAAAATTTATTCTTATTTTTGATAAGATACTAATATTTATGGAAAGTTATCTTTACTAATACACAAACCAAACCTGAATTAAAATAATAATTTGCTTCTGATAATGTTAATTAGGATAATAAAAATCAGCAGTATATAGCATTTGTTTGAGGTCAATTTTTAAATTTAATTTTTATTTCAAATACAAGTTCTTCCCTGGTTGAAAGCAGTGAAGAAACAAAAGAAATTCTCAATTGTTGAGATAATATTTTTTAGCCAATTAAAGAATACAATTTAATAGATTTTAATATATTCACAGGGTTGTACATCCATCACCACAATCAATTTTAGAACACTTTCATTCCCCCCAAAAGTAACCCTCTTCCTTTAGCCATCACTACCCAATTCCCCCATCCCCCATATCTCTGTTCTGTCTTGATGGATTTGCCTATTCTGGACGTTTCATATAAATAGAATCATACAATATGTGGTCCTTTGTGAGTGGCTTCTTTCACTGAACGTGTTTTCAAGGTTCATCCATATTGTAGCATGTATCAGTATTTCATTTATTTTTATTTATTTTATTCTTAATATTTTTATTTTTTACTTTTTTCTGATTTATCTCTATATTGTGGTAACATTGGTTTATAACATAAATTTCAGGTGTACATTACTATATAATTACTATCCATCACCATACAAATAATCACCCCTTTCACCTGCTTCCATCTGCTCTTCCCCTTGGGTAACCACCAATCCAATTTTTGTCTCTAGATGTTTGTTTGTTGTTGTTTTTATCTTCTACTTATGAGTGAGATCGTACAGTATTTGAGTTTCTCCCTTTGACTTATTTCACTTAGTATGATATCCTCAGGGTCCATTAATGTTGTTACAAATGGCAAAATTTTATCCTTTTTATGGCTGAGTAGTATTCCCTTGTGTATATATACACCATCTTCTTTATCCATTTGCCCCTCGATGGACACCTAGGTTGCATCCAAGTGTTGGTTATTGTGAATAATGCTGCAATGAACATAGGGGTGCATATATCTCTGGAAATTCATGTTTTCATGTTCTTTGGATAAATATCCAGCAGTGGAGTAGCTGGATCATATGGTAGTTCTATTCTTAATTTTTTGAGGAATCTCCATACTGTTTTGCTTAGTGGCTGCACCAGTTAGCACTCCCACCAGCAGTGTATGAGGGTTCCCTTTTCTCCACATCCTCTCCACCACTTATTTCCTGTCTTGTTAATTATACCCATTCTGATGGGTGTGAGGTGATATCTCATTGTAGTTTTGATTTGCATTTCCCTGATAATTAATTAGTGATGTCAAACATCTTCTCATGTGCCTGTTGGCCATCTGTGTATCTTTGAAGAATTGTCTGTTCAGATCTTTGGTCCATTTTTTAATTGGGTTGTCAGTTATTTTGTTGTTGAATTGAATGACTTCTGTATATATTTTAGATATCAACCCCTTATCAGATATATGGTTTGCAAATATCTTCTCCCAGTTGTTAGGTTGTATTTTCATTTTGTTGATGGTTTCCTTTGCTGTGCAGAAGCTTTTTAGTTTGATGTACTTCCATTTGTTTTTCTATTGTTTCCCTTACCTGGTCAGACATGGTACTTGAAAATATGCTAAGATCGATGTTGAAGAGTGTACTGCCTCTGTTTTCTTCTAGAAGTTTCATGGTTTGAGATCTTACATTCAAGTCTTTAATCCATTTGGAGTTAATTTTTGTGTATGGTGTAAGATAATGGTCTACTTTCATTCTTTTGCATGTGGTTGTCCAGGTTTCCCAACATCATTTATGGAAGAGACTTTGCTTTCTCCATTAAACCTGATCTCAACTGAGGTCCTTTAATTCCCCAACTTTATTGTCTAACTGTCTTAAATATTTTCTCTATATACCTTAAGAACTACATGAGACAGTGTTGTCATTTTTGCCTCAACCATCTAATATAATTTAGGAAGCTCAACAGGAGAAAGAAAGTCCATTAAACGTACCCATATTTTCACTCTTTCTGTTGTTCTTTCCTCATTCCTGATGTTCCACCTTTCCTTACTTTATCATTTATCTTATGCTTAAAGAACTTCCTGCAGTCATTCTTTTAGAGTAGATCTCCTGACAACAAATTCTCTTAGTTTTCCTTCATCTGAATATGGCTTCATTTCACCTTCTTCCCTAAAGGGTATTTTTTGCTGGTATAGAATTCTGGGTTGACTGTTCTTTCAGCACTTGAAAAACGTGCCACTTCCTCTGGCTTTCATGTTTCCTGATAAGAAGTCTCTGACATTTGAATCATTGTTCCTCTATAGGTAATGTGTCTTTTCTCTATAGCTGCTTTCAAGGACGTTTTTCTTGTCTTTAGTTTTCTAAAGTCTGATTATGATGTGTCTTGACATGAATTTCTTTGAGTTTATCCTGTTTGGGGTTTGCTCAGCTTCTTGAATCTGTGGGCTTATGTTTACTGCCAAAGTTGGGGAATTTTCTGCCATTATTTATTTAAATGCTTTGTCAGCCTCACACTTTCTTCTTTCCTTCTAAGACTCAGCATATTTTTCCCTCCTGTTCTATCTTTAAGTTCACTGATTCTTTCCTCTGTCCTCTCCATTCTACTCTTGAGCACATCCTTCGAATCTTATATTTTGGTTACTGTATTTTTCTGTTCAAAATATTTCATTGTGTTCTTCATATTCTCCCTTTCTTTGCTAAGATTTTGGGTTTTTTTTATTTGTTTCAAGTATGTGCATAATTTGTTCATTGAAGCATTTTTATGATTGCTCTTTTAAATTCCTTGTCAGATGAGTCTAGTCATCTTGGTGTTGATGAGTCTTGACTGTCTTTTCTCATTCAGTGTAAGATTTTCCTGTTTCTTGATATGATAAATGATTTTCAATTGTATCCTACACATTTTGGATGCTGTGTTGTGAGACTCTAGATCCTATTTAACCTTTCTTTTTGCAGGCAGTCACCCTGTTTAGGTGTAGCTTGAAGGTTCAGGTGGGGGTGGATGTTCAGTGCCCTGTCGGGCTCCACTGACTCCACCCAAGCAAAAGTGAAGCACTGACACCCACCTCATTTTCACTGGGTAGAAATGGAAGTTCAGCTCCCCATCCAGCCCAGCTGAAACAGGAGTGGAGAGGATGAAGGAGGGGAAACAGAGTGCTGACTAGCACCACCTTTTTTCTAGAGTTTGTTGGGTGGGGATAGAAGTTCAGCTCCCCATTGTGCCCTGATAACATGGAAGAGGGTGAGAAGCGATTGCTGAGAAGCACTGCCTGGAACCACCTAGTTCTACCTCATTGCCTCTGGGCAGGTGTGGAAGTTCATCCTGGCTGATACTACCCTATCGGTGAAGCAGAGAGCTAACTTACCTCACCTCACTGCCACTGGGTGTGGCCCTAATGAGTCATTACTTTTTTCCCTTATTTTTAGTGTTGTAATATATTCTGGACACAAATCTTTCGTCATTTATTTTTATCCTAAAAATGTTGCTTTTGTTTTGTTTTCATTTTTCTCAGATGCACAAACATTTTAAAGTTCGATATGAAAATTACCTAGTCTATGATACATTTTGAGTTCATTTTTTAATATGGTGTAAGATTTAGGTTGAGATTCTTTTTTTTGGCCTACAATTTCTAATTGTTTCAACACTATTTGTTGAAAACATTATCCTTTCTCTATTGGATTGTTTTGTACTTTTGTAAAAAAAAAATCAGGTGGACTACTTGTGTGAGTCTATTTCTGAACACTATTCTGTTCCATTGACTTATGTGTCTATCCCTCTACCAATATCACACTGTCTTGATCACTGTAGCTAGACAGTGATTCCTCTCAATTTATTCTTTTTCAAAATTGCTTTATCCTAATTCCTTTGCTTTTCCATATAAACTTTGGATCACCCAGTCTATTTTTTCAAAAATCCTGCTTAGATTTTTATAGGAATTGCATTAAGCCTTTATATCATTTGGGAGAAAACTGAAATCTTAACTATGTTGAGCCTTCTAATCCATAAACACAATGTCTCTTCATTTATTTAGATCTTTTTTTATTTCTTTGATCTGTGCTTTGTAGTATTCAGCTCCTGTACATACACTGTTAGATTTAAACCTAAGTTTCACATGGGCGGGGGGTGGGGCAGATATTTGTTTGTAGATTCCTTTTGATTCTTTATGTAGAAAATGATGTCAACTGCAAATAGGGACAGTTTTTTATTTTGTCCTTTTCAATCTGCATGCATTCTATTTACTTTTCAGGTCTTATTTCACTGGCTGAATCTTCCAGTATGATGTGCTGGTGAGAGAAGACATCCTTGCCTTCTTCCTAATCTTAAGAGGTTTTCCTTTTTCCTCTGGGATGATTGAGCAGTTAGCTTCTGGAATGGGATTTTAAAGCTGAATACTGGAAGAAAGTTAGGTGATCATTAAAGGCCAAAATATAAGAGAAGAAGCAACAAAAACAGCTGAAGCAATAATACTAAAGAGAGAAATTAGTTTGGCCCATTACTGGACTATTTGTGATCTTTACAGAAAAATCCCATCATTCTTTTCTTGCAGCAGCCTGAGTTCTAAAGAATCTATTGGAGACTGATAATTTAGAAGGAACTTTGCTCTCTTAAGCCAACAGCATGAAGGATCAGTGATAAATACTGTGGGATATAACCAGCAATTACTTCCTTGAACCACAGTTGAAAAAATACTGAGCAAAATGAGTCCAAGTAAGAAGCTCTTTATCAATTTTATTTTCTCATGAGCCATGCACACCATCCAAGAAGGTCTCCTCACGTGTAAGTTCCACAACACCATTATTAGGGGTACTATGGCACATATACAAACTGACCATTGAAGTCAGCCTTGTGAATTTTGCTGATCTAGCCTATTGGGTACACAAGGAAACATGAATTGAAGCAGTGAGGGGTGAAGTAGGAATCAGTTTTAGGTCTAATCTATAGTATGAAAAGAACATAGGGAATTTCAAGAAAATTCTGACAGCATAATAGAGTGGTGGTAGAATATATATGTGTTTTTTTAATTGAAATAACCAGAGACACAACCAAGCTGAGTTGTGTTAGGATTTGAATCTCTTGAACAAAAGATATACAAATGGCCAACAGGTACAGGAAAAGATACTCAACGTCACTAATCATTAGGGAA